TGCCAAAAATCACAGGGAAAAAATCAAAACAACTAAGCATTTGCTTGAGTTTCTGCCAAGAAAACTTTCCCCTACTTCCTTGATCACACAAATTCTCTTCAAAAAAAAAAAAAAATCCTTTTCCATGTGAAAACAAAAGTGAATAGAACCATATTTTTTCTCTTTCCCAAAAGCCTATTTTATGTGTATAGTCTTTTTTCCGCAGCATACGAGGAAGCTTTACACTGGCCTCAGCAAAGACCTCACAAGAAGGTAGCATTTAAAGCAACATCGGACCCAAAGGGATTGTTCTAAGTTTTCTGACAGATTGAACTATGGAATACATCCAAGAGAAAAAATAAAATAAAAGGAAATGAAAATACAATTACAGCTACTGTTGGTGCACCTGTGAAAACCAAACTGCGGGTTTTAACCAGTGGAACCGGGGTTTTGAGTTTTAAATAAAGATCCCTCTAATCTGGCAAGTTACTTAACATCTCTCAACCTTCATTTCCTTAACTATTAAATACCTAACAACGGTGTATTTCAGAAGACTCTGGTGATTAAATACCATAGGCTGAATATAAAATACTGAGATGTATGATAATGGAGAGAAAATAAGAAAGCTTCAAATGGGTATGACTCAACAAAAATTTAATTAGGGCCAACTATGGGCCTTTTTCATTTAAGATTTTATCACATATAAATCATTCCCTATCAAATACTGTGTGAGCTTCTGGCATTATCTCAAAATATTTCTTTTGCCTATAATTTCCATCTAAATATCTTTCTATGTGAAGCCATTTCTAACCTGCTAATTTCTCCAAATCTGCGAATCTTCCCAACCTTCTCCAAGGTAAATACTTCTGTGTTCCCATAGCATTTTGCTCATGATATTATCATATATGTTATGATATAGCAAGAGGTGTGTACACCCCAATAATTGCTAGAAAGCTGACTCCTGGGAACAGAAATCCTTTCATGGCTCTACATATCCAGTATCTAATAAATGTTTGTGAATGAATGAAAATATGTATTAATTTTTTCACCTTCTAAAAGGGAAAAGAAACCCAAGATCTTCTAAAGTGGTTTATCTTCCTAGCACAACTTACAATAACATGAAGTTAAATTTTCATGTGGAAATTGTAGTTTAAACACACTGTTAAAAACGAAACTGTGTTCATTCACCTCTACATAATACTTACTGGCCGGAATAATGAAATCTCCATGTAACTCATAGGTCATAAGGGGCTCCGGAAGACTCCTGCATGAAAAAACAGCTGAGAATTACCAAACATATCCAAACAAGTCACCACTCTTTGTGTTCATTTTTTAATAAAAAGATATTAAATATGTTGTGCATTTCTTAGTTAATGTGTAAAACTTCCCTAGGGAATACTTTTACATATCAAAAAAAAATACATAAATCAAATGGATCATGTCATTCACTGCTACCTGCAACAGGCACTCTCTAAGCTTAAGAAGACACAAATCTCTATTGGATCTAAGCATGGAGTATTTCATATTTAATTTTGGAAAGTACATTTACAAACATGTTATTATATATAAAACTTCCTTCCACACATTAACTTATTTAAAACCAAACATTCTATCCAACCAAATGTAAGCATATAATTTTGCAAATTATTGCTAAAATATTGACGATGCCACAAAAAATATGTAGAGAAGATTAAATAAACTTAAAGAAATCAAATCCTCTCCTCTTACATATCTCTATTATATAAATATGATATCCATTTTGGTTTATGCATATAAAACAATCAAAGATAGATATAAAATGAAACTGATGACACCTTGAAAACTACATATCGATATTACTTAATAAACCAAGATAAACCGTGTTTGGGCCCATGACAGAATTCTCAATAAATTTAAAAGAGTTCAATTTATCATTTTAATTTTCTACCAAGCACATTATATAAATAGTAGTATTATTTATCCTGTAATCAACAGAATGCTACAGTTCAGTCAACCTCTAGACACTTCTTAAATTTTAAAAGACCATATCTCTGAACTCTATAAAAACTTAACACTCAGACAAGTATCAATCTGCATGATCTTTCTGGAGGGCAATCTGGCAAGGGATTAAGAACCTTTAAATGGTTTAAATAGTGTAACCCAGAAGTTCCTTTTCAAATGGTTAAAAAGAACTTCGAAGATACACACGAAAATTTAAAACATATTCGAAAGCCAAGAAAAATGCCAAGGATTAAGGAGGTCATTTCATATTGATAAAGAGGTCAATTCATCAACAAGACATGACAATTCTAAATGTTAACGGATCTAATAAAGAGAGCTTCAAAATACATGAAGCAAAAATTGAAGATGGTTACAAGGAGAAATAGATAAGTCCACAACTACAGCTGGAAATTTAAATACCTCTGTCTGAATAAATGATAGAACAAGCAGATAGAATACAATCAGTTAGAATATAGAAGATTTGAACAAAGCTATCAACTAACTTCACCTAGTTGTTACGTCCTTTCCCTAAATGACAACCCAATGCATTGTTTTTCACTGCACATGGAACATTAACCAAGATAAATCATGTTTGGGGTCATGAAATAATTCTCAATAAATTTAAAAGAGTTCAATTTATACATGGTATTTCTGATTATAATAAAAATTGGATTAGAAATCAATAACAGAAATGTATCTGGGAAACCGCAAAGAAAAAAATTAGGAAGTATTCTGAAGTAAACGCAGTATATCACATATTGGAATTTGAGGGATGTTAATAAAGCAGTATTTGGGGATAAATTTATACTGCTAAACACTTATATTAGAAAAGAAGAAAGGTCTTTAATCAATGACTTCACTTTCCATCTTAAGGAGCCAGAAAAAAAAAAAAAAGAGTAAATTAAACCCAAAATAAGCAGAATAGAAAAAAAAAAAAAAATCGCAGCACAAATCAGTGAAATAGAAAACAGAAAAAGAGAAAATAATAAACCCAAAAGCAATTAACAAATAAAATTGATAAATCTAGCCAGAATGATTAGGAAATAAAAGAGAAAAACACAAATTATCAATGTCAGGAATGGTAAAGGTGACCGCGGACTCACTGTAGCATCTAACGGTATTAAAGAGAAAATAAGGAACTATTATGAACAATTTTATGTCCACAAATTCAACAATTTAGATGAAATGGGAAAGTGTCTTGAAAGACAAACTACCGAACGGTCTCTTCAGAAGAATGAGGTAACCTGGGTAAGACCCCCGTCGTTTACAGAAATTGAATTTGTAGCTAACGATCTTGCCCGTAAGAAAACTGTAGGCCCAGATGACTTCACTGGTGAATTCTAACAAAAAAGAAAGAATACAATTCCCCACAAATTCTTTTAGGATGTATAACAGGGAATGCTTTCTAACTCATTCTTTGATATCAGCATTACCCTAGTTCCAAAATTAAAGACATAAGAAAACTACATACCGATATTACTCATAAATATAGATGCAACAATTCTAAATAAAATGATAGCAACTGAAATTTACAAAGATAAAGGATAATACATCATGAACAACTTGGGTTTATCAGAAATGCAACACTACCTTAATACTAACACAAAACCAATGCAATTAACCATACCAGCAAACAAAAGAAAAACTATGATCATCTCAATAAGTAATTTAGGGGAGAAAGAACAGCTTTTCCCACAAATAACACTGGAACAAACCAGACATCCCTATTCAAAAGTAACCAGGGATCCAGACCCTACATCTTATGCAAAACTCAAAATAGATCATAGAGCTAAGGATAAAACCTAAAAACTATAAAACTTCTAGAAAAGAATATAAAAGAAAACATTTGTGACTTTAAATTAGGCAAAGATTTATTGATACATCACTAAAAGTACAGTCCATAAAAAAGAACAACTCATAAAATTGGACTTTATCAAAATTAAAAGCTACTACTTGACACTATTAAGAGATGAAAAGACAAGCCACAGACTGAAGAAAACATTTGCAAAAAGCACATATTTGAGAAAGGACTTGTATCTAAAATAGATAATTAACCCAATACAAAAAGAGGACAAATAGCCCAGTTTTTTTAATTGTGTGAAAGACATGGACAGACACTTCACCTAAGAAAATAAACAGCACGAGAGCACATAAAAAATGTCTAACATTATTAATCATTACGGAAGTGCAAATTAAAAGCACAATGAGATGCCAGCACACACCTGTTAGAACTGCTGACATTAAGAAGATTGACCATATCAAGGACGGGCAAGGATGCAGAGGAAATGAAACTCTTGTACACTCGTGGTGGGAATGTAAATGAATACAACTACTTTTGTAAAAAGTTTCAGTTTATCAAAAAGTTAAATATACACCTACAGTACAACCCAGGCATTACACTCCTAGGATTTACTCAAGAGAAATAAAAGACCGTGCTCAAAGATTTGTACAGAGAGGTTTTTGGTAGCTTCATTTTTAATAGCCAAAAGCTACAAACAACCCAAATATCCATCAACAGGTGAATGGAGTAAAAGAGCTGTGGTTTATCCATACGATGGAACAATAATAGTTAACAACAAGAAGGACTGAACTATGCAGCAATATACCACGACACAGGTGAATCTCTAAGTTGAGTAAAAGAAGCCAGATTTAAAGGAAAACAAACACATACTGTATTATTCCATTTCTATGAAATGATAGTAAATTCAAATCAACGTATAATGACAGAAAGCAGACCAGCAGCTGCCTAGGGATGAGGGATTGAGGGAAGGGAGAGAAACGGATTTCAAAGGGACATGAGGCAACTTGCAGGATGATGAGAGGGTCACTATCTTAATCATGGTGGTGGCTTCGCAGATACCTATGTCAAACTTATCGGATGGACACTATAAATGTGTGGTTTATTATATGGCAATTACATTTCGATAAAATTGTTTAAAAACAAAATAGATGCAAAAATATATATTCTCAGATTATGTTCCCTACATAAAATTTATGATGGTGCAGTGCAGACACACACACGCACTGACACCTGTAGACAGTGAAGCCAAAACTGAAGGCACCGGCGAAGAACACCGTTCTCTTATTTCCTCTCTTTCTCCCCTTTATTCCCAATACTCTCATTTAAAGAAGAAAAGCAAAATCAATTACACCGCAGCCTAAATTAAGAGAAAGAGGCAAACCTTAGGGTATTTTTGTTCCAAAATATGGACAAGCAAGACATAGCAAAGAAGGAAAATGATTCGGGCAGAGAATGAAAGTTAAAGGGTACAGAAAAGTGAAAAATGAGGACGCTTTAAAAAAAAAAAATAGAGGGCATTTTTTTCCAATAAAAATGAATTTGTATCGAAATACTTCTACGAGCTTCTTATATCATTGCCATATGTCTGCTAAGCAATGCAGCATAAAAAGTATTAAATATTGTTAATGTTAGGGGAACAGTCATAAAAATGACAAGTTCCCCACACCAAATTTATTATACTGAGTCACTGTACCTCTCAATTTCCCACCAATACGTTCTTGAGCTCTCTCTCTTTTCCACCCATTGGGATCTGTTTGGGAATACCTATGCTGACATTTTCTTCCCTAAAAGGCCCATTCCAATTTCCATGTTTTAGAAGTTTCCTCCAGTAAGATCACTTTACTAAAAAGTCACAACAGAGCTCATTTGTCCCCTCACATGGGAAACTGTTGTAATGAATACACTGCTGGGAATCAAAATTATGGTGTGAATAATAGGAAATCAATCAAAGGACTGATATTCAGAACTCTACAGCAGCGGTCCCCGACCTTTTTGGCACCAGGGACCAGGGCTCTTATGAGACTCTAATGCCTGATGGTCTGAGGTGGAGCTGAAGCGGTGATGCTAGCACTGGGGAGCAGAAGCAAATACAGATAAAGCTTCTCTTGCTTGCCCGCTGCTCATCTCCTGTTGTGCAGCCTGGCTCCTAACAGGCCACAGACTGGTACCAGTCCAAGGGCAGGGGGGTTGGAGACCCCTGCTATAAAAATTAAAGTAAAAAAAAAAGGAAAATTTTGCCTCAGCTCAGTAGAATACAGAGATGCCATATAGATGTCTGTTGTACATCTTTTCCTTTTTCCCAGACCCTGGAGGGTTTGCTCTTGTTTTAAGTTTGGTGTTTCGGGGTTTGGCTATCTCCCTTGTACCACCTCCCAACCTATTAGGTGGCTCATTCACAGTGAAAACTCAAGGGCAACGGTTTTTTTGGTAAGAAAAGTTATATTCAGGTTTGTGCCATGGTGCCATTAAGGGACAGTATGGGGATTCCAACCCAGGCAGGCTGGCTCCAGAGGCTATGGGTTTGCCCAGCACACCATCACCTCTTGTGCTGAAAGAAACGCACTCACTCAGGCCATAACCAGGTAGCCAAACAGAGGTATGTGAAAACTCAGTTTTCTCCTCCTTGGTGCATCACCGGAGTGTCAATTAAATCCTAATTATTGCATTTTAAGTTACTAAAAATAACAGGCAAAAAGAACAGCGACTGTTCAAACCTCCCAAGGTATGTCATTTTATGACAATCACTTTATCCCATTTAGGCAGAATGTGTACATTGTTAGGAGTGACGTGAGATGATAACAGCATCTCCTATTGTTGTTCTTTAAGCAATATTTGCTTAAAAGAAGAATTTGACAGGATAAAGAAACTCGAGGAGAGGAAAAAGGTAGAAAAAGCAACAGAAGATCAGGGGCAATAAGGAACCAGCTTCAGAAAGTATCAAAAACTCCTAAGAAATTATATGTACTGAATAAAAAGATTCTCTAGTTTATTAAAACTAGTCCCTTTCCCCTATTGGGGGCGGGGCGGGGGTGTGTGTGTGGGAAGAACCATGTGGACCAGGGAGAAAAAACCTGCAATTTATTACAGAAGAATTGGATTTTTGTCCTAAGTCTCCCACCGATAACTGAATCACTTTGGTCAATCCCCTTACCCGTTCCAGGCATGAGTTTACCAAATAGTAGTATGAGTTTAATGCCTCCTCCTAGAGTGGCGACATCCATTCTTGATCAAGTTAACATATGAAATTCCTTCTATTTTTATAGTCCTCACTCCTTTCCATCTAATGCAGGCTTTCTCAACTCGACTTTAGCACTACTGATATTTTGTACATTTGGGAGGAAGAATGGGCTGTCTCGTTCATTGCAGGAGTTTTAGCAGCCCATTCCTGGCCTCCACCCATTGAATGCAGTAGCACCCCCTCTTCTGCAATCATGAAAACCAAGAATGTCTCCAGATATTGCCAAAAATTTCCGGGGGGGGGGGGCAAAAATCAGCTCCAGTTAAGAACCACTGCTCTCATATATGAATGATGGGTATAGCTCTAAATGCCGAGGATTCTGCTATAAACATGTCACACTAAATATCTATCTTCAGGAAGCTGACATTCAAGCCCAGGATGTAAACTAACAAGATTCGTTTTGACCACAATCCTCTTCTAAACCAGTTAGTCACTATCAATGGCAAAGAAGACATAAACAAGTCAATTTAGACTTAATTTTGCCCACTTATAAATTAGAGATAATAATAATGTATTTCCTAGTTTAAGAAAAAAAGTTAAAACGGTGGCTAAAAATATCTTGTGTAAATACTCGAAATACATATGTGAACTCACTGAAGAATTTTAATTTCTTTAAAAGTAGGACAACCAGACAACTCAGGCCTCCTGATGTAAAACAACACAAGAATGTAGCCCTACTAGGATACGTTCTTGTGATAACCTGAACTTGAATCTAATGAATCCTAAAGATTTAACTAATAGTTTACAGAAAATATGTTAGCTAGAGAAACACATTGAATGATACCATAAGGACACAAAATATAGCCATAAGCAAAAAGTAGAAAATTCTATTTTAAAAAATGACCCAAATTCATCAACGAAAACATTCTGGGTGGCGGGGGTACAGAGGGAGGAGACCGTGCAGATTAAAAATGACTTAAAATATACCAACCAAATGAAAAGTGTTGACATTGTATAAATCCTGTATGAATTACAACAAATATAAAAAGACCTTTTCTGGAAAAAAAAAAAAAAAAGTAAAAATGGAACATGAACTGAGCACTGGATGATATTAATTTTGTTGGGTATAATATTATCTTTTCTATATTGCTTTTTTAAAAAGTCCTTATCTTCTATGATATATATATTCAAGTAGTTATGTTTTAGAAAATCTTCAAAGTATTATCCAAAACAGTGGCAGGCAGGGAGGCTGATGAAACAAGGACAGATGTGTGTAACTGAAGCAGCAGGATCATGGGGCCCTGAGGATCCATTACACTAACTAATCTCTCTAGTTTGATATATTTGAAATTTTTTAAATATGTAAATTTTAAAAAATATATAAAAAAACCTAATAAGTTGATTCCGATGTGCTCATTGGAACCCAAACAATATTTACCTGAGAAACAATCCTATGCGTTGGCTAAAAACTGATGCGAAGGGGGAGCGCGGCCGTGTTGGCCACACGGAAGTCAGAGCCCGCGGCCGCACACGGCAGGAGGACTGCGCCTCCCCCCGCCCCCCCCACCGGGCCTCCACTCACTTCATTTTTCACTCCCCAGGTAACTGTTCTTCATCGAGCCTCAAGTGTTTTAATCATTAAGTTCCTTTCTTTTGTTAAAGAAAGGTTAAAATCTCACAGAAATCCTGAATCATTTTCTAATTCTAGTCTTAAAAATTTTCTTTGATAAATGCAAACTTTGAGTTTATCTTAAAACCTCATCAAGTAAACTTCTTTTAAAATAGCTTCATTTTTACGTGTTATCATTATAAGCCTGTAAATTCAAATGGTTTAAATTTAAGCTTTAAAAATATTCATTTCAGCCAAAACCATAAATAGAAGATTCAGTGAATACAATAAATAACCTTCTTTCTCATTGTTTCATAGCATTTACTTCCTAAAATTCACAGCTGCAACAGACATTTATTTCAAAACCTAAGTCTACTCTATCCAATTCTATTCAGTTGCAATATACCTAACTGATGTTCACCTACTACTTACCTCACTTTCTGGGCCATTATTAGATACCTCGTAAATGTTTTCCTTTTTTAATAAGGCTTACCTATTAAGATTTATGTGCATAGTCAGCATGTGTGTTAGATGTCCAAATCGTCCACTCTTCCCTTCTGTTACTGAGGGGAGCTTACCTCAAATACTGTTTTAGGGCACTTGTTATTGTCTTCACTTCCCACTCTACGGAATTCTCCAGGTCTAACTCATTGCATGTTTTTACATCTAGTGAGCAAACAAGAAAGAAAAAAATAATTAACACTTTGAACATCCAAAGGTCCTCCTGACTGGCTCAGAAAGCTTCCATTTATGTGGCTAAACCACACATAATTCTGTGGTTTCCTATAAAAACATTATGTACAATTTTTTATATTCTGTAAGACATGATCCATTATTACACATTTTTACCACTTCAGAAAATCTGTGGTGGAGATGAAAATAAAAGGATAAGTAGGGAAGGACTGGACATACCTTAGCATTTAAATCAGTTATGCTAGATGGGATAAAAGGGGTCAAATGTGTGGTGACAGAAAAAAAATCTAACTATGGGCGGTGAACACACAATACAATATATACATATGCCTCACTGTTAAATTGTACACCTGAAACTCACTGGATTTTCTTAACCAATGTCACCATAATTTAAAAAATCATATGATCATAAATAAATGAATGAATACATAAATAAATAAATGTTCACCACCACAAAGCACCAAAGCACAGAAAGCTATCATTATTATTATTAATATTATTATTAAAGGCGTTACTCAGAAACCATGGCTTAGAGCACATGTGGCATTTGCGCTGTCTTTATATTTTCACTTGTTCAGGTGGCATTATTGCTGTCACGCTGTGTTATGACAGGGGAAATAGCATTGTTAATGGAAAAATTAGAACAGCAAAAAGTCAGTGGGAGGAAAGGATAAATTTTGTCCCACACTTCTAAAATCTGTACTCATTATCATCATCTTTCTGAAGACTACTACTTGGTCAACCAAAACAGAAATACGATGACACATAAACTTAAAAAGTCATTTTTTGGGTCATCTTTCATAGCAACATTGGAATTAACATACACTCATCCAGGAAATGCTTATTGGAAGCCTCTGTACAACACTTCTGATGTTCATTCTAAATTAAACTAGTTAATTAGTTTTCTTTGTCCTGAAAGTGTGTTAATGATGGGTTTCTTCCAAATGGACTTTCAAGTAGCTAGTAAGCTCTAAAGAGGACACGTGGCCTAAAAAAAAAAAAAAAAAGAGGAGGAGTTGGAGGGCATGGCGGGGAGGGGAAGAGGGAAGAGGGAGGGGTCAGTTTTTGAAAAGGAAACGGTTAGTCCCGGCTGAAACGAAAGGAAAGGATGGTGGGAAAGGCGAGCCCTCTGAGTACGATGGCATCTTTGACCCAGTAAGGCTGCACTGGGCTGTGGCAGGGCAGCAGGCAGGGCAGAGTGCAGCACTGGACCACAAACTCGGGCTGAAATGCTGGCTGAAACTCCGACCACCATGCCACCCCAAGCGAGTCAGTTCCAAACTGATCTGAACTTCAGGCCTTCGTCCGCACAACGGAGATAATGTAAACGCTCTCAGGGAACTACTGAGGGCATAAAAGCAAATCGGGAACATATACAGATTTCTACAACTTATTAAATGAGTAGGTAATTACCTAGCTGAGTCACTAAAAGTATCAGCATTCAGTGATGGTTAAATGCTTCAAAGGGAGGGAGTAGAGAATGGGTTATAATGAATGATATCAAACGACCAATATAAATTTGCCTGGTTTTCTGCATTCCCATCATGCAAAGGAGAAAATAAGAGATTCATAGGGAGACCTGACTTCTCCCTCACTCCGGAATGATGTTTCAACTAAGACCCAAAAAATTACTTGTCTTTTTACCCTCCTTTCACTGCATTTGTCTATAATATAGGGAAGGAAACATCTTGTTAGTATTTCCTTTATAAAAGCACTAAAAAGAAAAACTTGTCAAAATAGGACCACCACGTTACGTCATGCAAGATACTTAAAAGTTTTAGGCTTGGGCATAAGGAAGGACGGATGACAAGTCAATGTTATTCTCAAACTTTTTGAAAATAAAGTAAAACAAGAAGTGATGGTTATTTTGCAGCCATAACATCATACATATGAGGTCAATTACTCAAAAGTCTGGAGAACTTTTAAAGCACTTCAACAGTTCTTGATTACAGCAACTGACAGCAATATGCAATAAACTACAACAATGGCAATTGACACTGATTACATTTTGATCAGTTCCTACAATTCAGAACTCATTTTTTACTAAGCTTGTCAGACAAGCTACAAGTACATTCAAGAAATCAAATTAAGCACCCTGATTAAAGGTGCAATCCTTTATAACTGGGACTAAATAATTCTGTTCTAAAGGCTTTGCCAACCAATTACTTCAGTAACTGAATATTCTCTCTCTCATTAAATCAATTATTTAAATCTCATTTTAACATACAAGTCAGATAACATTTTCAATCAACTTGCTCCCAGCAAATCGCCATTTTTAAATCCTTCTGAAAGAAAGACTTCTAAAGGAAATCTTTTATTTTCAGCTTTCTACCAAATTATCATTCTATATTTTGAGAATCATATTCTTTCTAAGAAAAACAAGCCATCTTTTGAATTAATGGAATAAAAAGTAGGTGTTACATCAGAAGTTAATGACTACATTGTGTCTGTGGTACTAACCCTCCATTAAAATTTCACTGTTCTCAACTAAATCATCTCCAGCAGTTCTTTACTATCTGCGGATGCACTGAAACTAGATAAATTTGTTAATAAGTTATTTGGGATTCTAACTTAAAATGCATTTGAGTGTTTAATCAGAATATATGGTCTATTGTCAATAAGGTAGAAATTTGGCCTCCTTTCTAACCAAGGGAAAACATCTCGTGGATTACTTAAAAATCAAAATTAACAACCACAGATAAAAACAGGTGGCTTTTTTGGGCATTAATGTGGTCATAATTTTATAACTGGTGGTCATTTTTTGAAACTACAAATTTTCAGCCCAATCTAAATGCAAGTGTTGGCACCCTACTGATCTAACATCGACTTGGGTCTCATTTTAAAGTACTTAAGAAGCACAGTGATTGAATTAATTTTTAAAATATACTTTATAATTTAAAATCTGAATTTTTTCAGCTATGTTAGTTTACTTTTTTCACCGATCTATGTGAAAAATCTGTCCTACACAGTAAGCAAGGTGATATTTTAAAAGTAAAACACTTCTAAATTCGTTTTGTTTTCCATGGTTCTATGTCTAAATTTAAAATCATCTACCTTTTTTTGCAAATAAAATTTATTTAGAAATAACCACCAAATTCACCAGCACACAGAAGCTACTATCACATTTTCTCACAATTTCCCCTCCCCTGCTCTGATGTTTTCATTCTAAAGTGGGAAAAAAAGGCAGAATGCATGACAATTCTAACTCATCTCAGTTCCAAACTACCAATAACTACTGTAATTAGTCTGTTACATTCTCACCCCATTTACTAAAAGACCGTGACTCATCCAAAGACACCTCATCTGACATTTCTCCCTGCCTTCCCCAACTGCTCCAAGTCTCTATTAAAAAAAAAAAA